ACTAAAAACATTACACTTCACACTAATTCACAATGACAGTACACAACTGACACCCACACATTACAACTAAAAACATCACACCTAAATCACACATCACAACTAAAAATAAACATATTTCACTTTACACTAATTCACAATGACAATACACATTTCCTGTACACACAATGCAATGACGTAAGAACCAGATAACAAATACGGCTATCCTGACGTTTACTCCTCATTTAACTCTGAAGATGACTATCGCAAAGGTTGTCGAAACGTCAGTCAACAACAACAAAAAAAGTCCTTCTCAGGACTTCCATAGGTAGTAAAATAAAGAGAAATTAAAAGAGGTTAAGTGGAATGGAGTTTCCTTGCACATTAAGTGAAGGATTGTATTTATTGATTAGAGGGCTTTCATGAATGGAGAGTTCATAAGTATCGTTGGAAGAGGAGATTATTTTAAAGTCGTCTAAGTTGGGGGTGTGTCCAGTTGCGTTAATGTGAGCAAGAATGCTTGATGATGCAGGGTGGGAAACTTGGTTGCCTGTAAGGGGGGATATTCCCAAGTGCTCCGAAAATCTGGTGTGTAGATGACGTGTGGTGTGACCAACATACGAGGCGTTGCAGCTTCGACACTTGAATAAATAGACTACACCAGATCTCAGAGGTTTGGGAATTTGGTCCTTAAAGGGGAAGAAAGAAGAGATACGTTGAGAAGGGCGGAAAAAAAATTTAATGGATATATGTGGGAAGGCTGCAGCACAAAGGCTATTGATTTGTGTACGAATTTGAAGGGAGTGTATGCCGATGAAAGGAAGACAGAAATAGATGGGCATTTTGTGTGCAGTCAAGACAGGTGGTTTAGGGGCAAAGGTGTTGTTAAGGAAGCGACGTGTGATTTGATCAATTATACGTGAAGGAAAACCGTTTTTGGTGAGTGACTTTCTGGTAAATTCGAGTGGTGTATGAAAATTTTCGTAAGTAGAACAAAGATAGAAGATGCGGTGAAGTAAGCAAGAGACTAGTGAAAGTTTGAAAGTAAGTGGGATGAAGCTGTGGAAGTTGGTGAAGAGTCCAGTGAAAGTAGGTCTGCGGTAGACGGAAGTGGTGAATTTTCCATTAGTACGAGAGATATCAATGTCCAGAAATAAGAGCTTTCTGTTTTGTTCGACTTCAGCTGTGAATGTGATGTTAGGGTGTTGTCGGTTCAGATAGTCAAGAAAGAGAGGGACGTGATCGGAGGAATGAAAAACTAAGAAAGAGTCGTCAACGTAGCGTCGGTAAAGTAGTGGTTTGAATGAAGAAGGACATTATTAAGCCAGGATTGTTCGTGAAAGGACATGAATATATCAGCAGAGGGCCCAATAGACTGCCCACAGCCATACCTCAATTTGCTGGTACATTTTCCCGTTAAACATAAAGTGACAGTTCTTAACAGCTAGAGAGAGTGTTTTTCAAATTCTGTTGCCATGAGTCCGTTGAAGTACTGGTGATTGTTAAAATTGCTTTTGGAAAATCCTGGTTTTTCAAATTTTGTGTAGGATTGTTGATTGAATATGTCCTGCAAAATTTGGCTAAGTCAATGAATATGGAAAACCATATTATCGAGACTATACAAACTGGAGAGAAGAGAAAGAAAGTTTCTGATAAAAGTAATAAAAGCAATATTAAATTCCAAAATTGACAAGTTTTTTTTGTGGTTCCTAAATCTACGGATAGACAGAAGCAAAGTTGAAGTTAAAAATAAAGTTTTACAAAATTTCTCTTTAGAATATGGGCATTTGCCAAACCTCAAGGCCACATTTTTTCTTGTGCCATTTTTCCTGTTTTGCCCACCAAGTGAAAATTTTTTAAAAATTCACTGGCGTTTTCGCTAAAAAACTTAAAAACTTAAAATTTTTAATTAAAGATGCCCTTGTAAACACAATCACCATTAATTCATGTCAATATTTTTCTATACATAAGTTACCTATATTTAAATAAATTACCACTGCATACATTAATATTATATATGCTATCACATATTTATATTAATGTCACTAATACTGAAGATGACATCACGTGATGCTGAAACATGTTTATTTTAAAAAACTCCAATGTTTACTTTAGTTGTTTACCAATCAGTAAGACAACAAAATGTACGCTATACAAACCTATTCTTTCATAAGATGCCCTAACTACTAGAAAAATCTGTGGACTGTTTAAAGCACAAGGATCTTTAAAATCATTATTAAAATGTTTCTTCAGAATAGTGACCAAGGATATAACAGGCGGAAAACAAAATCTTATTATAAATATTAAAGCCCAAGGATAAATGGAATTTATGGAAATCATAAATTCCATTTATCCTTTTCCACAAATTCATATATTGACATGAATGCTGCTTTCCAAACTGGGAATTTTTTCAAGAGGGCGAAAAATTTATGGATGAATTGTAAATGCTTGGCAAAGACGATCTCGCGAGCGACATTTCAGTCATTGATGTTCAAAAGCAAGCCAACATTGTTTTGAGTTTTATCAGCAGAAATTTACATCCAAAATCGTAAGTAAAGGACAACTGAAGTGTATGCATGAATGTAATATATCAAAGTCAATTTATGCGAGTGTGTGATGCGATTTATGTTAGTATGGTAAGGAAATAGATGCTTCTAAAATTGTTGTTGCCGAAGGACTTTTAGCTATGATTTCTTTAGTGCTTGGGGAATCGTGGCCGTTATATGGCAGCGAAATCTTACATTCCTGCAAATATGTTTCAATGGACAAAAAATCTATAGCCATAAGGCGCCATACTATTATTTACTTTATCATAAAAAAATGTTTGGGGCTTTTCAGTTTATGATCATTGATCATTCAATCATTAGACAGTTGTACTACATATTGTTTAAGATTGAGAAAACAAACATTGATTACATGAGAAGCTGTTTACTATAACCCGTGATTTTGAGTCTTCTGATCCATGAAGCTTTTTATTTTGACAATTTGACTGGAATGGTATTAAACCTGAGTATTTCACATACATGAAATGTTGTCCCATGTCACATATTGTCCCCTTTTCTAACAGAACATCTCATGTAGAGATGTAAAGGTGTGTTAATCTACGGCTCATACCAGATTGTTTGCCATAAATTCCAAGGGGCTATTGATGTATGAAAAGCATTTTCTATAAAGTAAAAATGTCTTCCTATGTATGCAGATAAACCTTGAAATTTGGCAAAACAGCAAAGTATTTTTCATGATCACTAAGTAATTTTTCTGATGATCATTATAATTTCTAAACTAAATTATTTCAGATTTACATTTAAACGAGCTTTGATCATATGAAAAGACATTTATCATAACCAGTAAGCATGACACATGAACCAATTTTAACATTCATGTAATTATATAATTAAAGACATGTTGGTTACATTCTGTTTGTATTTGATAATACAATGCTACTAGTGATTTTGCTATATAGCACACCTTGCATATACTTACAGAAGATAATAGTCTAGTGAAATGCCTAAGAAACATTCATGGCATTAAGCTGTCCTTAACTGCAAATTTTTACCTTAATAATTTTTGCTTAATCTTTGGCAGAAAAAAATTTTGAGTTTTTTCTCAAGTGAATTTGCTGGCACTGATGTGGAGATGGGTAAAGGGTTACAATAAACTTGCATGGTTTGAAGTCTGAGCTTTTCTATACCTATGAACTATCACTTGTAGTACCAAATTTCTAACTTAACTTATTACATAGAGGTTTGAATGGGGGTCTCTAGGGGGGTCTATGCCTGACAACTTGGTAGAAATTTTATCTGTTTATGAATATAGCATTATTGTAAAATAAATTTTATGTTCCTAGACATGCTAATGAGCCATATATTTGGCATGATAATGAGCCTAAATATTTGGCAAAACATTCAAGTTTTGTTCACTTCATTTTTTTTTTGGAAAAAAACGTATGCAAAATGTGTTGTTTTTACGCAAAAACGATGCCCACAAAATACATTTTGTAATGCTCTAAAACGCTGAAAATGGCATTTTCAAGGCTCTGAAATTCAAAATTTCTCAGGAGAGATAGCCTCAGACCCCCCCAGGTGCGGAGCGCCTCCGACGTTTTATGACTGATGTTTGAAAAATCCTAGATCCGCCCCTGGTTTTTACATACGGGAATTATTGACAGCACATAACATTTTCTGTCTTTAAGGTCATATTACATAATATACGAACAAAAATGATCTCTCACATTTTTCAACTAATGACCATAAAACTCGAGAGCTATGATCTATAACAGGACAGACGCACGGAATTGAGGTCACAGAAAATTCCTTGTTTTTAAATGACAAGCGAACGGAGAATTTATTTGAATATTTACCTGAATATATCCTGAATGGGCAAACAAAAAATTAAGAATGCCCAGTTGAAGTATTGGACGCATTTGAGCAAAAAGAAAAGAAAAAACCCTGTTTTCAAACATTGATATACCACGGCGGCACGTGGCCACTCAGTTTTTATCACAATGACGTCATACCCGTTTATCTATAACTGTATAGACCAGGGGTCTCCAAACTACGGCCCGCGGGCCAGATGCGGCCCGTTGGGCCTCTCAATCCGGCCCGCAGAGACACTTAAGAAAATAGTAATAATATCATTAAACAAAATAAACTTTGTGCAGAAATTTCACGTTATGACGCTAGTGAACTAGCAAGAGTGGCTTATGTCAATTTTCGTCCCAACTTTCTACTGAGACAGAATCTGTTGACATGCCATATTTCACCGCAGTAAGATGGCTAAGTTGTGGAAAAGTGCTTTCAAGGGTTTTGAGCTAAGGAAGGAGCTATTTTCTTAACTAATGAAGCTTGTGTTATGTACTTTGTTTTATTAAAATATTCGCTCTTTGACCAGCGGTATACGGCTGGTCGGCCCTCAACATGCTGGAAGAAAGTTAATGTGGCCCTATGGCTATAAAGTTTGGAGACCCCTGGTATAGACAACTGCTAAATGTTATCTACTTGTTAAATAAAAATAACCAAATTATCTAACCATACATTTTTATTAAAAAATAAATCATCAACATGAAATTTGTTCAGAAGTACAATACATAATAATAAGTTTGACAGAGCATTTTACAGTAGTAGTCAAATCTAGAGGATGCCCTGTTTAAATGACAATTCATTTATGAAGACTACAAGTAGAATCTTAGAAAGGAATAAACAAATATTCATGATCAATTAGTATAGAAGCGTTCTTTTTAAATACAAGTCATTTGTGTTATAAAAAGCAATTATACATCGTTTCAGATTATTGCAATCATAGATAATATTTTACATTCTTTAATAGCAGTAGGTAAGACATTCCAAGAAATAGTACCGATAAATTTAAAACATCTTTTGCAAAATTTGTCCAAATTTATTGTTGGTAAATATAGATAATTTTTTAAAGATTGCCTGGTAAAATAATTATACTTCTTCTGTAAAAAACTATAGTAGGTGGAAAGAAGGAATCATCCTTACGACCATCAACATCTTTGTGCAGTTTTCTCAACAGGTTTTTGAATTTACTATTAAAGTTTGAGTTGATGTATTTATTCAGGAACATTAAGTTTTAAAAATCGAATTCTGCAATCTCTCTTGTAAACAAAAGCTAAAGTTCCTGTATTGGAATGAATAGTTATTTGAGGCACTGTTGTGGATAGAAAATATTGTTCTTCAATTGCAGTGCATACTTTACCACTCTTCAAATCTACAGCACTCGATGACCCAATGCAATAAGATTTGTGTATGACTAGGTTGGATTGCAAAAGTAATGCACAGACATGCATAATCTCATTCACATCACCATTCTCGTGAACATTAATTACATAAATGCCCTTACTTCTGATGTCTCTGGAAAATGTTATGACTGCTTGTTTATTATCACTTATACAGCAGTAGAATTTTAGATCATTTACAGTTATCTGTTCTTCAACAAATTTTTCAATAAAAGACGTTGTGGGTATTTCTGCAGTATGCCAAGGTTTCAAGTAAAGTTCATTGTTGTTATTTCCCCATTTCCATAATGTGTATTCTGTTTTGTTTACAGTTAGAATAACAGAATTATCAGGTGATACAGCTGCTGCTTTAAATTTTGAACTATCAACAGGAAGTCTTTTGTTATATTGTATCTCACCCTTGGTAATTCTAACAACTTGAACAAAACTTTCTTCGTCAATACAAACTAAGACATCACCAAATGTTAAGATTTCTTTAGGTTTAAATCCAATGTTAACATGCTTTGCTTGAGTAGAATCTACAAAATTTTCAGACGAAGTTGATATCTTCATAAGATGATCAGAACCATCCCATATCCACAGTAAACCATCCGACCACCAACATCCTAATGCATTCTTCAGTTGCATTGGTACAGTTTGAATAATAGTGCAACGTTCAATGCTCCAAATATGAATGTTGACGTTGTCACCAACAACGAAAGCTGCCAAAAAAGATCCATCCGGTGAAAAACAACAACATTTAATTTCAAATTCATCAAAGATAAATGAAGGTCTCCAAATATGATCAGTTTTGAAAATTTTAAGCTTGGAAAAATACGGCACAACGCAAAACTGAGTGATTTCAGAAAGCTTTCCATTCTGGTTTGTACGATTATAAATACAATCGCGATAATGGTGTCTTATCATTGAATGTAAACGTAGTGGATATTCATTTCTATTTAAAAAAATATCGATTGCCTTTGGGAATTGAAAAACATACCAAGACCCTTCAATGACTGGAACAAAGAACTCTGAACATTTATCGGTGTATTGTACTTCTTGGTAATCAACAACGCAGCGTCGATCAATTCTTTCCAAAGTTAATGAATTCCATGCAGTAAAGACATCTTTAGGACGTTCATGGTAATCTTTTACATACTCTGCTATAATGAACAAACCAAAATCTGAGAAAGAGCAACGATTAACGACATCATCTGACTTTAAACATAATAACAAACGTCCATTGTTAACGTCCCACAACTTTACTTCAGTAGATCCATCACTAGTTACCAGTCTTTTTCCGGTAGGTGAAAAGGAGCAACAAAAGATGTTTCCACGTACAAAACCAAATTTCTCTGATGTTGGATAGTAATATTTGTCATACTGGGAACTAAATGTGTCTACATCCCACTTATCCAACCTTGAATCATCGAGTGCAGTGCCAAGAGTGCATCGTTCTTCGAATTCAGGAAGCTCAAAAATAGATATTTCACCATTTTCATATCCTACAGCAAGAAGTTCTTCATTGGACGACACACAAAGAGATGTAACGTTAGCACGCAAGGAGACAGTCAAATGATGATGGTTTGTTAAATATGTTGAGTCTAAATACTCAAACCAAACAAACTTTCCTTGTTTCAATAAATCCCTTGCCAATAATCTTTTTTCGTCACTGCCATCAATTCTGTTTGCAATAATTTGTAAATAAATTAAGCCATCATCATACAAATATGAATCCCCTGTCCTCATAAACAAATGAAACAGCAGTTCCTCAAGTACATCTTTTCTCAAGAAAATTCGTTGTTCCTTAAAGATTTGAAACAAGTCAGACTTAATGATATCCTCCATGTTAAGGTCTTCAAAACCCATTAACCTTGCACAAACCACTTTGACATCTACTGCCCAGCTAAAGTCAACATTTTCGCCACATTTTGACATATGATAGATTCCATTCTCCAAAGCATATTTAATCACAGCAGTGTTCATCTGATCTTCAAAAATGTTCATTGACTTGATTTGTTTAAACACTTTCTCACAAGCATACCATAATAACTTATGTCCATTTTTTGGATCAACTGTAAACTCATGCTCTTCATAACCATCTGATTTCAACCAATCAACGAGAGACTTGTGATACACGGCCAAATAATCATCGTAAATTGGAAAAAATTGAGACAGCACTCCATGTATTTTAGTACGATCTTTAAACTTCATGTCATCAGGAAAACCTAAACATTGAAAAAGAAAAGACAAAGGCAAAATACTTTCATAAGTCACCAACACTTCAAGACATTCCGTAAAGTTTCTATCGGAAATAACGGTTTTGTGTGTTGATAAAATTGTTTCTTTCAATAATTTATTTAATCTCTTGAACTGTTCCGTGTAAAATTTACTCAACTTAGTAGGAACCAATTGTTCTATATTCTCGACAGTTAGCTCAGTTTCTTTTTTTAAACTCTCTTGTGCGTGGTAAGCGTACAGAAACGAACCCTCGCATTTTTTAACTAATAAATTGAAAGCACCATCACTATTCTTTTTTGCCAGATGACTCAACTCATGTCTCAAATACTTGTGCAGGTCTTCTTCGTTGTTTTCATCACGAGGACTAGTTGTAATTTCCACAGGGCTCATGTCTTTCATCTCCTTTTGAACAGGAAGTTCTGGACGACTGGTGATGAAGATTTTAATCCATTTAGGCAGTCGGTCAAACTCTTCTGCAATCAATTCCAACAATTCACTTTTGCCGTCAACTTGACTTTCATCTAAGGCATCAATAACCAAAAGCATTGGTTCATAATCTTCCAATGAATGCAATGGATTATGTAATAAAACACGGAATGCATCGGTGACTGATTCGTAGGAATGTTTTCTCTGTAATTCTTCATTCAGTTTACTTCTAAAATCTGATATTGTATCACACATGCTACTAGCCAATGATTCTATCAACATTCGAGGATTCCTCTCATCTGATCGATTATATCTGCAGAAATGTGAAGCAGCAAGTTTCTTCTTTTCAAAATATCGTCGACACACCTCAGCAGCAAACACACTTTTACCAACGCCTGGACCAGCAATCAAAATCATGACATTAGAAACATCTTCGTTTTTGTCGGTAAACCAACTGTCAAGTTTTTCAAATAACCATTGTCTAGTACTTTGTAAGTATTTTTTGTTAAGATCTTTTATAAGACCATTAAAATTACACTTTCCAAGCTTCTGAAGATCTGAGCATATTTTGTCCTGTATCATTTCTCTTACTCCAACAACATCAGCTTTTGTTGCCATCACTTGTGTAATTTCAGCTACATCAGCTTTTGTTGCCATCACTTGTGTAATTTCATCTACATCAGCTTTTGTAGCCATCTCTTGTGTAATTTCAGCTACATCAGCTTTTGTTGCCATCTCTTGTGTAATTTCTACTACATCAGCTTTTGTTGCCATCTCTTGTGTAATTTGTACTACATCAGCTTTTGTTGCCATCTCTTGTGTAATTTCACCTACATCAGCTTTTTGCCATCTCTTGTGTAATTTCATCTATCAGCTTTGTAGCCATCTCTTGTGTAATTTCAGCTACATCAGCTTTTGTTGCCATCTCTGTGTAATTTCTACTACATCAGCTTTTGTTGCCATCTCTTGTGTAATTTGTACTACATCAGCTTTTGTTGCCATCTCTTGTGTAATTTCATCTACATCAGCTTTTGTTGCCATCTCTTGTGTAATTTCTACTACATCAGCTTTTGTTGCCATCTCTTGTGTAATTTGTACTACATCAGCTTTTGTTGCCATCTCTTGTGTAATTTCACCTACATCAGCTTTTGTTGCCATCTCTTGTGTAATTTCATCTACATCAGCTTTTGTAGCCATCTCTTGTGTAATTTCAGCTACATCAGCTTTTGTTGCCATCTCTTGTGTAATTTCTACTACATCAGCTTTTGTTGCCATCTCTTGTGTAATTTGTACTACATCAGCTTTTGTTGCCATCTCTTGTGTAATTTCAGCTACATCAGCTTTTGTTGACATGCTTTCTTTAATTTTCTCCACGTCATTTTTTATATCTTCCACATCTTCTTTTGTTTTCTCAGCAACAGGACACCAGTTTTTTAACATTTCAATATAATTTGCTTCATCGGCAGTGAGGGGAGCTTTCTTTAATTCATCTATTTCAGTTTGTTGAATACCCAAACCAACCAATGCTTTTGAAATTTCCTGCCACAAATGCTCAAACTCACTGTCATCTACACTAGTTGTAGTTATGTGACCGTACACTTTGTTTCGATAAAACTTTATTCTTGCAATGTTTGCTGAGGTTGAAGAATCTGAAGAGGAAGGAAGATTATTCCATCCACCATGTGGCGCTGTTAGACCACAAATGTTTCGTAATAAGACAGTCAATAATGAGATATCAAAGTTTTCAATGTCAGGTGAACCAGTTGATGGGTAAAGCAGGTTCCATTGCTCTTTGTTGATGACTTTGAATTTTAGTGATGTCAATTTACTCTTGGTAGAAGGATCATTAAGTTTATCTTTTAAGTTTGATAATTGAAGGTTTATAATGTTTTGCAATGTTTTTGTTAAGGCTTGTGCTCCTTTATTGATTAAAAGTTTACTCAAGCGAGATCCATTTGCCTCAATCTTCAGTTTTTTAGGTGCTGAAGCCATTTTCAAATAAGAAATTTATTTAGAATATAATGTTGTGAATACTCTGACTTACTTTAATGAAGAATCTTTGGTTTTAATCGTGAAGCCTTTATTTGAACTTCAAACTAAAAATCAAGAAAAATAATGGTACAAAATAACTTATAAAAATTTAAAATTAAACAAATCAACAGCCCATCGAAAAACTTATATCAAAGCTTAAATATAAAACGTTAGTAAAATCTGTGATACAATATAAAGAGTAGCTTAACAATGTTTTAAAATCAATGTTTTATAGAATTTTACTCACGAAATACGACACAAAACGACTATTTCTACATTTCAACACTTATTTCCTTGTTTCATAACGTAAATTAATAGTTTTATATTAAAATATATATTCATTTTTGTCTTTCATTGTATTGTAGTGTAGACCTGTGTATTCAAATGTAAAGGGCCAATCGTGGCAAAGAGGAAACTTTGTAATTTTATCTTGCTGAATGTTTAGTATATATAGAAGCTGCAAACGCTGTTTCTGGTTGTTTCAAAACGAATTTTTGATGGTCGCATTTTATAAACGCATTTGATTAATGCATGGTATCGCATTTAGTTGAAGTCTTGAAGAGACGAATTGGATAAGCATTTTTGATTTTAATACTCGTGGTAATGAACCAACGTTTGTCGTGAAAAGAATCGTGATTTAGCATCCCGCACAACAGAACGCTTAGGTTGTGCGACAATGGCACTATAAATCTATAATTCTATTTCGTCACTGTTCTACGTCACTAGGAAGTCATGTGAGATAGAGCGCGCGACATCAAGATCAGTTCGAGCGTAGATTTCACAGCGATCAGTTAAAAAAAGTTCCTTTCCACACTATACTACAATTTTTTTAAATTATGCCTTCTACAAGTGAAGTGTATACGACAAGAGATGATGTCGGAGATGAAGCAGTACTCCTGGGTTTTGCTGAACACGATGAACAAGATGACATGATGGAAGAAAGCGAAGAAGTGCAAGTCACATCAAAGAATTGAAGGTGGAAACCGCCCTTTGTAGGATGAGGGAAGCAATGACTGCTAGAGGGCGTGATTTACAATTGAGTGCGATTCAATCAGCCCTGACGAATGTCGGTCATATAGCAGCACAAACCTCCAATGATCCCGCAATAACAGCAGCGAACTGAATATTGATAATCTTGTTTGTATAAGCGCTGATATCATAACGATCCTGGGACATGTAAGTTTTGAATTGTCTCAACGACGACGTAACGCTATACGTCCCAATCACCATCGAGAATTTAGTACTTTATGCGCATCGTATGTTCCCATTATGAAATATTTGTTTGGAGATGAATTGCTAACCCAAATTAATCACATTCGCACATCCATCAAGATTGGCAACGCGACAACAAGCTCTTCTAATACCACTTGGCTGCAACACTCCAAACAAGGTAAACAAAAATGGCGCCCTTTTTTTATCCCGTCATCAGGGCAACACCCCCTAGCCGTCGAAGAAGAACCAATTCGAGAAGAGACGATCGGATACAATGAACGATCGAAAGTAGAAAACACTGAATTTTTAAGAAATTTTAAGACTCTACAGGTAAACCAGTATTCTTCTTTTGTATCCACGCTAATAGCGTATTTAAATAAAAGCTTGGAGACCTACCAGGCTGGCAGCATATGAAATTTTTTGAGTGCATGGGAAACACTCACCTCTGATAAAAAAATCTTAGAGGCAGTGTCAGTACAAAAATTGAATTTGACACAATTCCGATTCAAAGAGCTTTACCCAAGCAAATACAGCTACCCGAGGTTGAAATGAACAATATTGATCTAGAAAGAAACAAATTACGGAAAAAAGGCGTTTTGCAGATTTCTCACCCTGAATCAAGGGAATTTGTACTCCAATTTTCACTTCCCCCCAAAAAGACGGTTCTTTTCGCATGATTCTTAATCTGAAATCCTTAAACAGGCATGTCAAACATCACCATTATAAAATGGAGTGTGTTTGGTCAGCTATTAGGCTTATGAAACCAAATTGTTTCTTGGCATCCATCGATCTCAAAGATGCTTACTACTCCGAACCTATTCACCCAGCATATAAAAAATTAATTAGAGAGGGCAACTATATAAATTTGTCTGTTTTCCTAACGGCCTAGCCATTTGCCCACGAAAATTTACAAAACTCCTCAAACCTGTTTTTTCAAATTTATGTTTTAAAGGACATATTTTGGTTGGATTATTGATGATACTTGGCTGACATCCGACACATATGCTTCATGTGTTCGGAATATTTGAGATACCATCTGTTTATTTAATGAAGTGGGGTTTTACGTACATCCGCATAAGTCAGTTTTGGTTCCCTCACAAGTAATTACTTTTTGGGGTTTACGACTGAACTCAGTTCTTATGCGAATATCTGTGATGACGAAACGAGCTGAGAAGATAAAACGCATGTGTCATGAGCTTCTCCCCCAAAAATAAGAGATGTTTCTCGGGTTTTAAGCACTCTCACTTCGAGTCTCTTGGGCGTAATGTACGGTCAGTTGCATTATCGCTGGCTAGAAATGGATAAAAGCGATGCTCTTAAGTTAAACCGGGGTAATTTTGACAAGACAATGACCCTGTCTTCAGAGGCCATACATGATTTACGATGGTGGCAGTCATCAATATGCACGACTTACAGGCAAATTACTCACAATGAACCTTGCATATGCCTAACAACAGATGCGTCGTTGACAAGGTGGGGCAACTCCCTAAATGGTGTATGTGTAGGGGGTAGCTGTACGCTCTTGGAGGCTTCTAATCATAAAAAATAATTTGGAAATTCTTGCGGTATTGTTTGCCCTTGAGTCGTTTTCTTCAGAACTAAAAGGTCAGCATGTTAAGGTATTAATTGATAATACTACCGCTGTAGCTTGAATTAATCAAATGGGCACATGCCACTCAAGGTCTATTCACAAGTTGACATGCAATGTCTGGACCTGCTGCATTTCGTATGATATGTGGTTGACAGCAGCGCAAATTCCAGGATAACAAAATGTCACTGCGGATGGAGAATCTCAAATATCACGCAGAGAAACAGAATGGCAGTTGAACTTGACTCTGATTACGTGCGCCATTCAAAAACTAGACGTAACTCCGAACATTGATTTGTTTGCGTCAAGGTTGAATAATCAAGTGAAACCCTATGTTTCATACCAACCTGACCCGTATGCTATATCTGTAAACGCCTTTATGATATCGTGGGCCAATTATACATTTTATGCGTTCCTGCCTTTTAGCATAATTTCGCAAGTGTTACAAAAAATAGTACAAGATAATAGCACAGGACTAGTCTTAGTCCCTAACTGGCCAACACAAAGTTGGTGGCCAGCTTTAATGCAGATGCTAATAGCACATCCTGTTGTTTTACCTACAGGAAGAATGACCTTAACTCTTCCAGCCTATCCGGATCAAATCCACCTTCTCCATACAAAACGGGAGCTACTACTTTGCCATTTATCGGGGAATTCCTCGCTGATAGAGGCATTTCACCAGAGGCTTACCAACAAGCACTATTCTACAAACCTTAACCGTTGGTGACAATATTGCAACGCAAACAATGTCGATCCTGTCGCGTCCTCTGTAGAAGAGGGCGTTAATTTTCTTACAAAATTATCCTACAGCGGTATTAATACTGCAAGGAGCGCCTTATCTACTATCCTAATGCTACCAAGTGGCATCTCGTTTGGTAGACACCCACTCGTTGCTAGGTTTGTTAAAGGTGTATTTGTTGCAAGACCAGCTCTTCTAGAGATGCCATGATCTGAGACGTTTCAGTGGTATTCAAACATCTTCGAAATCTCCACCTTCCAAAAGATCTCAGTTTGAAATCATTAACTTTATTATCTGGTCAGCGATGCCAAACACTTCATGCATTGGATATTTCTCATATGGAGAAGAAAGAAGATCGAATAGTTTTTCATGTGCACCAACTGCTCAAAACATCTAAACCTGGTAAGCATGCTGCTCCTTTAGAATTTCGGTCTTATCCAGCAGAGCCTGGGTTATGTGTATTTAATTAATTGTCCCTATTTCTAAATTCCACTGCACCCATACGAAATGGTGCAAGACAACTCCTATTGAGCTATCAAAAACCTTATCATTCGGTCACTTCAGCCACCATTTTCCGATGGTTAAAATACGTGTTAAAGAATGCTGGTATAAATACTGAAGCTTACAGTGCACACAGTACTAGAACTGCATCAACTTCTGCGGTAAACGCATTGAATATTTCTATGGACTCTATTATGAATGCAGCTACATGGCGTAATGAACAAACTTTTCAAAACATTTTATAATAAACTAATTGAGGCGAAGAACTTTGGCAAAGATCTACTTTCTGCCATTTGTGAGACATGAAATGTAAAATTTCAATTATTTTATTTTGTTATTAGTTATTGCTCATGTCCACGTTGCTTTAAAATCTAACATGACTTTCTAGTGACGTAGAACAGTGACGAAATAGAATTAGAAAATTAAACGAGACTTACCTGAAGTCGAAGTTTGATTGAAATTCTATGAGTTACTGTTCAGGAACTAGGAAGTCCCCCACCTAACTACTAACTTACTTCTTTTCAAATGATGTTAAATACTACTTGCCTCCCAATATCTATGTGGACGTTCGCAAATTTTTAAAAACTGATCTTGATATCGCGAGCTCTATCTCACATGACTTCCTAGTTTCTGAACAGTAACTCATAGAATTTCAATGAAACTTCGACTTTAGGTAAGTCTCGTTTAATTTTCTAAGTTTAAAGCATTGAGTTGCTGAGGAAGACCTTCTTTCCAATCGTGGCAAAGAGGAAATTTGGAATTTTATATTGTTGAATGTTTAGTATATACAGAGGCTGCAAACGCTGTTTCTGGTTGTTTCAATACGCATTTTGATGGTCGCACTTTATCGACGCATTTCATTAATGCATTGTAACGCATTGAATTGAAGTCTTGAAGAGACGAATTGGATAAGCATTTTTTGATTTTAATACTCGTGGTAATGAACCAACGTTTGTCGTCAAAAGAATCGTGATTTAGCATCCCGCACAAAAGAACGCTTAGGTTGTGCGACAATGGCACTATAAATCTATAATTACCTATCAATGTGGTAATGTATAATTGATGCAAATCGTTCGTGGTTGATTTAAGCGTGGGCCACACTATCGTCGAAATGCAACGAATTTCGTGACGAGTCGCTCGTCAACGAGAAAATATGACGATATGGACGAATTCGTCGCCGTTGAGCATGCACACCGAAATCGTCAACGAGTGACGAGTAATTGTTGCATATCTACTCTGATTGGACAAAAAAAATCACATGACTAATGTTTGCTTTCACTGTGCTGTGGCAAAATGGCGGATTGGCAAGAAATATTAATTGAGCTAGCGAGAGAGAGACGATGTTTGTGGGACAAACTTCATCCTGACTATAAAGATACACGCAATATAAAGAAAAATAATTGGAAGGATGTTGCTCGGGAACTGAAAGTGCTTGACGAAGCTCTTGCAACAATGTGTCATACAAGCCCTTCTCTTCTCGCCTTTTACTTATGGGATGTACCCAGAACCTTCTTTTGTATGTACGTCGTTTTGCAGAAATTAGAAGCAGTAGAATTTTTCTCTTCAATAATAGAAGTTTCTTTTTGCGCTGATAATCGTCCATGTTTATACAGAAAATCGTTACAATGTGGCACATGTACTCGTCACGACGGCTCGTTGACGAGCGACTCGTCACGAAATTCGTTGCATTTCGACGATAGTGTGGCCCGCGCTTTAGGCCCTGTTCACACGATACCGGATTCGTTTGATACCGGATTACTTTTCGTACCGGATAGGCCTTGCGTTCACACGGCTCCGCTGCTATCCGATACGCTTTGTATCGTTTTTCCGGAGCGATTTCACTACGCTGTGGAAGTGGCATAAAAACCAATCCGATACGTTCCGTTGTCGTGTGAACGCTGGAATCCGATACGTTGCACTTTGGCAACTAAGAAGTCCGTGCGATTTTTCAAAAATGAAAGCAAACATAGCGATACAAACTATGTTTTAAATGAATAATCCGCCAGCAAATATAATATATCTTCAACATGGCATGTTTAAGCTTTTATCAATGTATTATCGCAGTGTGAAAAGCTTCTTTCTAGTATTATTGTAATGGCAACATATATTCGGTCGTATTTGGACTTTACACTCTTCCAGTCCTTGCGCCCATTCGTAAAAAAACCTTAATACGCCTAAGAAAAACTCTACTTAGTTATCTGTCAAAAAATTTCTCATTTTTCACGAAATATTTGAATTAGCAACCATCGTCGTTATTGCTTGCACGTACAAGTACTGGGGCGATATAAAAACTTATGTATCGTCTTATGAATCCGGCATCGTGTGAACAGAGTGCATTTTCCGTATCGGATTGCTCAGCGAATCCGGTACAAGACGAATCCGGTATCGTGTGAACAGGGCCTTAAATAATAAAATATAGTCGTTTTGATAGATAAACAGATGATTTGTGTTTATATGATGAAACGCAATTTGATATACTAAGCATAAATATATATTATCGTATTGTCCAATTGATGTAGCGCTATTTATCTTATAGTTTCGTTTCACGTTGATTTTTCTTTTCTCAGAAGTTAGAATCATCTTATATACGGCATAATATCATCTGTGTATCTGTGTATCTACTGAAAATGTGGATGCACAGTCAATGAATCCAAGTGGACGAGTATTCTGCCATTTAGTCAAACCTTTGATACAATACAACGAGTAGCTAAACAATACCGCTTTAAAATCAATGTTTTACAAAATTTTACTCACCAAATATGACCAAAACGACTATTTCTTTATTCCCACACTTATTTTTTCGTTCCACAACGTAGAGTCACAGTTTTATATTGAAATATTTCTTCAATTTTGTCTTTAATCGTCTTGTAATGTACACATCATTCAAATGTAAAGGATGGGCTCATCACGAGATCATTCTGATTCACTTCCGCACTTGTAACTGGATACAGCTGAAATGTAGACAATAATCATGTTCATTGTCCATATATGGTTTTCACCTGATTTATATTTTTACAGAGACTTTTAAAATAAATTATCAATATGATTCCGAAAAATTATTAGAATAGACAATAGGCCAAAATGTATCCAAATATCGATCCAAATGGCCATTTTTTGTCAAAGTTTGAGTTTCCCAACCAAAGATCAGCAGCTATAGTCAGACAATAGTTGGTACTACTTGAGTCAGTCATTTTCAAACGAATAAAAGGATCATTAAAAAAATACATAAATTATGTTGAATTCTTTGTGGCTTTAACCGTTTTGTGCTCATAAAAATTGGAAAAACTGAAAAACAGCAAAAGAAATGAGCAACAGACAGTCTTTCTGCCAACGTGACCTGGCTTGTCGTAAATTTCATCAATTTATCAATAACAATATGGACGATGTAAAACTTATCAGTATAAAATAGTATACGGGAAGAAATTTTCATAAATAATAAAAACAAGTGAAGTATCTTTCTCTTTCTGTAAGCATGAACATTACTAAAGAAGTAAGAGCATGGTAAAATGGGAACTATTTACGTTAAATTACGCACATGCACTTGTCGTGGGAAGTTTAAAGCATTGAGTTGCTGAGGAAGACCTTCTTTCCAATCGTGGCAAAGAGGAAACTTTGTAATTTTATATTGTTGAATGTTTAGTATATATAGAGGCTGCAAACGCTGTTTCTGGTTGTTTCAATACGCATTTTTGTTGGTCGAATTTTATCGACGCATTTGATTAATGCATTGTAACGCATTGAGTTGAAGTCTTAAAGAGACGAATTGGATACGCATTTTTTGATTTTAATACTCGTTGTAATGAACCAACGTTTGTCGTCAAAAGAATCGTGATTTAGCATCCCACACAACAGAACGCTTAGGTTGTGCGACAATGGCACTATAAATCTATAATTACCTATCAATGTGGTAATGTGTAAAATTGATGCAAGTCGTTCGTGGTTGATTAAAATAATAAAATATAGTCGTTTTGGTTGATAAACAGATCATTTGTGTTTATATGATGAAACGCAATTTGATATACTAAGCATAAATATATATTATCGTATTGTCCAATAGATGTAGCGCTATTTAGCTTATAGTTTCGTTTCACGTTTAATTTTCTTTTCTCAGAAGTTAGAATCGTCTTATATACGGCATAATATCATCTGTGTATCTACTGAAAATGTGGATGAACAGTCAATGAATCCGAGTGGACGAGTATTCTGCCATTTAGTCAAGCCTTACAATACAACGAGTAGCTAAACAATACGGCTTTAAAATCAATGTTTTACACAATTTTACTCACCAAATATGACCAAAACGACTATTTCTCCATTCCCACACTTATTATTTTGTTCCACAACGTAGAGTCACAGTTTTATATTGAAATATTTCTTCAATTTTGCCTTTCTTCGTATTGTAATGTACACATCATTGAAATGTAAAGGATGGGCTCATCACGAGATCATTCTGATTCATTTCCGCACTTGTAACTGGATACAGCTGAAAAGTATGTATATGGTTCTCACCAGATTTATATATTTTGCAGAGACTTTACCAATAAATTACCAAAGAAGAGATCAGTTACACGAAGGTCGAATAACGCTATCCATTAAACTGAGTAGGAACGTTTTTGAGTGCTTCAAAAATATCTTAAATGGGAAAAATCAACGATTCGAACTGGACAATAAATGAAATACAATATTGGTTCTAGAATTACAAAGTTTCATCATCATAAACAAAATATAACCATGCACATTCACAAATTTAAAAAACTACTATCCAATGGATAACGCTATCCACGCTTCGTGCAACAGGCTCCAGTGAAAATTTGAAAAAAACTTGATGAGAATGAAGGCCAAAAATTGTCCAAATGGAAATGGCGAAACTATTTTTCCGAAATTCCAGGGTCAAAGATCAAGATATGTATTGATGTTAATAGGTACTAAGCACCGATCGGCATAACAGACCTTCAATTTCTTATTGTCGTATTGTAAAGAATCTACGAAAATTTGACAAAACTTTTGATTCAATAGATGATTAACTTCATATATATACATAAAAAATAGCTCTTTCCCTTGAAAGAGACATCGTTTCTGCAAGTTCAATATAGTACGAGAATATTTATTGTGTACTTTATGTTATATCTGGTGTAGGTGACGTAATATTAAAAATAACAAAAAAATTACACAAAAAATGCAAAAGAAACATAGCGTTAAATTCCTCAAGGATATATCATTTCTCTCATTAAATACTTTAACAGTTTGAGATTACTTTTATAAATATCTTTATAATTTGTATTTGAACGTTTACATCAGTAATTATACCAGTAAAGAAACTACAAATAGTCTCGATAATTCTGTCCATTAAACGCCTCTCTGGTTCAATGGAGTCTGGTGTGTCGCCAACATAATGACCATAAGCAATGAGTTTCTAAAAACAGAGAATATGAAATATAGAACTTTATATAAGATGAATACATGACCTACATAGACATATGAAGGGATAAAGGATTTTGGTTAAAAAACATATGGGAACTTGAAGGATTGGATATGAGTAAGTACTGTGGATAGATAAGGATAGCAATAATGACAAATTTTTTGAAGTATGGATCCTCTAGATTATTCTGGGAGGAATTTAGGAGGAAACTAACAAAAAATGTTCTGTAGCAACTTTATTTTGTGCTATCCAATTGTAATAGCTTAGAGACAACGCAATGACAATGTTTCCGAGATTAAATCTACTTCTTACAACTAAAGACTCCAAGTGTCTTAACACATCAAACAAAAACAACTTACTTGTATACAGTCAAGTGCAAATGGTAACAATCCTGGCACATTATGTTTGACAAACTTTTTCATTGATTAAATTTATTCCTAACAACTAAAGATGCCAAGTATCCTTTCTGTGTATTACATATTCTGTGCTTCAGCTAAGAAGTTTGTTATGCTACCAAGGGGAACTCTGGAATAACAACATCACAACCAAGCAATTTATCTCAGTATTGCCTACAATGACCGTAATTACAACTGACCTGTAATTCAGCCATAGTATCTTCTTCTTCTCGCTTGCTGGTGCTTGGGAAAAAGACGACATTGTCGATCATTTGGATAAGTTCCAATTGAACGACACTCTTAATGATCAATGAATTGAACAGCATCCTCTCAGTCTGCACAACTAAAATAATGAGATGATTTTACGACGTTAAAGTACATACATGAAAAAATTAAAAAATGTCACTCGGGTGATGGTTGAACATTTCCGTATTCACGCTCAGACAATTTTTTCATTTGTCGGTAAAAATCGAACTTTTGAATATGCCAAACAAAGGGCTAATTTATCTTATATGAGGTCTTCTAAAATAAAATAAAATAAGCAACGAATGCAAAAAAATAAAACAAAAATGAGTTTCTTAAGTTAGTGCTATTTTTTATGAAAAATAAGTGTTAACGAGAGAAGTAGTAATAATTACTAATTAGTAACATTATTAGTTCTATTAGTAACAATTAACAACATTATTGTTTCAAGCATTGTAAAAAATGTAAATTTTTAGAACATAAGCAGTTTCAGGAAATGTTACATGACGTCACTGTTTACTTCAGATTGAGTTTTTCAAACGCATATATCAATTATACGTTTTGCTACGCCTTTCCAATAAACCAAAGTAAATTAAACACGTAAATAGCAGAAGGCTGTGACAACAAATTATTAATCTCAATTGATTTCTAACACATAGTTACCTGGTTCGTGTTCTTCGACAGATTCAAATCGTAAACTAGGCGTACTATGTAAACTAATGCTGTCTTGTTCTTTTGTTTCTTCAACTGTTTCTTGAGGCATTTCCTCCTCCGTTTCATTCAAATCTTTTGACGATTGCTGGCCATCTTGTTCGTCCTCGTCTGAAAAATAATACGGAAAAATTTTCACTTGTTACTCAAAGAATGCAAGCTGTTGGTCCATACGAGCAAAAGATTCACACGAGCTATAATGCTAGTTGCAAACTTTTGCTTCATATGAGCTTTTGTTTCATACATTTGTTTCATACATGAGCTTAAACTACAAACATGTTGTTTGAAAAGCGAGTTCCACGATTCCTTCATCATGATCGGACGCAGCCAAATGAAAAAAGGAGAAAACATTTTTCTAACCAGATTTGATGTTTGCGGCTTGCGAATGCACCATTTGTGTGACACATCGTACGACCATATCACGAATTGTGGAAGAACTAAAATGTGAAAAATCTAGTTGTTGATTCAAGCAAATCGCAGACTGAAAATTGCAGTCCTTGTTGCCAAGTTCATAAACATATCGAAGAAAGAATTTTAATCAAATCCTTCCAATTATAACAGAGAAAACAGAGCAGTTGATTGAAAGTCTTCATTTGTAAAATTCTTTGTAAAATTTCCACTTGGAAACGAATCTGCAAAGTTTGCCACAAATTTTGAAGCTGCAAGAAAATTTACATTTTCTGACAGAATTGACTCCTGCATAAACTTACCTGTTTTTCTTCACTATGTATTCAAAGGGTCGGAGAAAATCCTTTTGAAATCGGAAATTTGGCAATTCCCCCTTTTCCATGAATTTCATGGATAATTGTCGCAAAGAGTCGACACAGAAAACGCAACTTCTTCATTAGGGTTACAACCACACTAAAATGGCACATAAATTATCTAAGATGGAGAAGTACCATAGTTGGTAGAACATTTAAGATGAAGGCATTGATTATATTGTTTTTATACTTGAGATATGAAAGAAACTAGAACTGTGTTTAAAAGTATCATCATAGTTCACAGTTGATCTGATAGTTTGGTAGAACAATGGAGACAATTATTGTCTTGTAGCTATACCTGAGTACATCATAACAACGTGATGTTATTATCCATAATATCAAGATACAATCTACTTCGTTAATAATCGCTAACCTTGTTAAAATGATCTCCCAACACAGCCCATATTTGTGACAATTGCAGGCGAATACGACCCATAATGTAATAAGAAATCTCTACGATCTTCTGCAGACTAAACATACGTATCTTTGTAGGATTGGAAAGCTCAACTTCCGTGACTTGACGTAAACCTTCCACGAAATCGACTTAGGAGAAAAACGAAAACATTTTAAGATTTGGATACAGGAGATAACGATAGTTGGGATTTGAGAACTGGGGATTTGGATACAGGAGATTTGGGATACTTGGGATTTGGAACAGGGGATTTGGGTACTAGAAATTTGGGTACTTGGGATTTCGGGTATTGGAGATTTGGGCACTTGGGATGAACAATGGTCAGTGAATTATGGTCAAGTTAAATGTATAAAAATCTTATGTAAGATGCAGTTTAATGTATACATGCAAACCTACCGATAGCATCACCATCCAGTTTCACTGATCCCGTGAAAACTCTAAACGTAATAAAACACAATGAAGAAGTTGAGATGAAGATATTCTGCTGAGAGGACATAACGTATGGACAGTGCACGAGTTCTTCAAAATTTTATTTTCATGTTTATGTTCAAGATTCTCTGGTTCACTTGAGCCTGAAGATGACTACCGCTAAGGATGTCAGAACGTCAGTCAACAATAACAATAACAGTCATTCTCAGGACTCTGCCTACGTGGACAATGAACATGTCTACATAGAGAATCATCCATCGACGTTTCTTGCTGTTACAAGCCCACTCTAGCTTAAAGACAATTTTAAAGATTCCTGTGAGGGGTAAATATTCATGTATTTAGTTTTGCTTGATTGATTTGGTTTAAAAGCTATTTTAATTTAAAAAGAAATTAGTTGGTCACAGCGAAATATATGACCATAGATATGAATATTCACCCTTCCCCCTGAATTAACGTTCTAGCTTCACCCCTGGGGTGGGAGATAGGTCACAAAACACAATCCACATAGCTATCATTAAAGTAAACGTTACCTGTCAACTGCAACGACAACACTTTGTGCAGCGGTCTCGCCAAAGGCTTTCTGTGAGCCAGCCGCTTTTTTCGAGTCAGCGGCAACAGGCATCCGACCTTTATAGAAATACAAGCAAAGAAAAGAACACAACGTTAGTATTTGATATTTTTCTATGAGCGTCACAACAATGTTAGAAGCAAACCTGAGGTTATATCATAAGATGTCTTGTTGTTTGCGGTGAATGCTGTGGGTGAATTAGTAACACCGCTGGACGCCGTGTGAAGGTATCGCGTTTTCATACCAGTAACGATAAGTTGAGCTAATTCAAGTTGGGAAATGCATTTCAGCATCTAGAATGAAAACAATGACTTTAGGGAAACGTAAAAAGATGCGCCGAGCGAAAAGAGCATTTGAGCAACGAAAACGAGTGTCCAACAAGACGAATAAACACATGTGTAGAAAATATCTTCCAATAAAATATATTTTGAGAAAAAACTTCACTTTCTTATGTATATTTATTACAGATGTACATTTGTGATACGATTCTCTGATGAAGGGTATGGAATACGGTCAACAAAGCACTTGGAAAAATGAAAGGTTAA